TTTAAACTTTTTCAGCCCGGTTTAGGTTTCCGGCACGGCGGTGCCACTGTGCTCCGACGCCGACTCTATTGCCCACAGTGGTGGTTCCTCTCGGTCTGGCCATTTTTGGCCAGTTTTACATGGAAATTTGCAAAAAAAAAAAAAGATTAGGGAGCTTCTATCGGCTGAAAAAAGAGAAAATCGAGACCCTACTAGCAGAGTGGTCTCCTGGTGCAGTGGCTCCGCCATTCCTCTTTTGCAGTCGGGATTTTTTTTTTGGCTAATCTGCACCAAAAAGAAACAAGGAACACGATGATAAAAAAATTGAGAAAAATAGATAACGGAAAAGGATTCATCGAAGGGGGTTTCGGGTTACAGCTACAGCAGCTCGGTCGAGCTCCAGTCATATTTTTCGAGTCACCCATCGACCTTTTAGCTCTGATATGGGTGTGGGGAGGTTCGGAATTCAATTCTGAGCAGAAGGGGAAAAATTTACCTCTTCGGTGTCAGTGATGGCTCCGGTGTGGCGGCGACGATGTTCCTTTAGTAGTTGAGCTTTTCTCCGACCGCCCTTGTTCTTCTTCTCCAGTCAAGAGTGTCGGCTAGAGTTTTGGGGGTTGACTAAAGAAAAGTTTAAATACCTCTCTTCCCCTGATTTTGGTTATCTATTCGCGTCGACGTGGAGTAAGGAGAATCGTCAGATTTGAAGCTCGTTTAGGCTGATTCATTTGCAAATCTGGGTCATCCATTGCAATCAAATTCAGCCACCCGATCGCATCTAATGATGAAATAGATTTGGACCATTCGTGTGCACGAGATGCAATCTAGGCCGTTGGATATGTTGGCATTCGAATTACTCGTGTGGCCTCCGGCATGGACATGTATCCACGTGTCTGCCACATATCGCACGTAGACTAGTCGCGCTGCTAACGTTGCAGTCCATATGGCCAAACTTTTGAAAATTCTATTTTTGCATTAATTTTTTAGATTTTTTTAAATAGATCTTTCTTTATTTCTATTTTGACCATAATTTTCAAAAATATTTTTAAATGCCTCAAAAACTCAATTTTTATTAAAAATTCATGAAAAATTAAAATTAAAGTTATTTTAATTTATTTTTCTTATTAATATTAAATTATCCCGAGGTAAATTTTTGGTTCGGGTATTACACATTTGAAATGAAGTTTTTAAACAAAATTGCATATGTTATTATCTATAACAATAAAAGAAATGTTTATTGAAAAAGAATAATAATATAGTAAATTGAAAACTCACCAATTTAAAAGCATAAATTATATCTACATAGTACTATAGTAATTTTATAAAACCTTAAATTTTTTTTAGAAGATATGTAAGATGATCGAGATGCAAAGGAAAAAATAAATGACTAAGAGATTGTATATTACATAACTTAGAATTTATAATTAATTATTATCGGATTAATTTATTTTATTAGAAAACCCAAAAAGATAATTACTATTAGTTTATTAGAAATTAAATTTTATTTTTATATTTAGAAAATTTAAATTGATAATTATTTTGTATACTATTATCTTAATTTTAGTTTTATATCTAATAATATTTTATACTCAAATAAAAATTAAATGTTATTTTATATTTAAGACATTTAATAGATAACTATTATGTATATTATCATATTAATTTTATTTTAAAATCTAAAAATTATTTATTTTGCAATATGTATAACTAAAAATTAAGTTTTATTTTTTATTCAAAAAGTTCAAATGAATAACTAATATATATATATATATGTTTACATTTTATATCTAAAAATTATCTTAAAAAATATGTTCAAATTTTATTTTAAATTAGTCTAATAAAATTTACTTAAAAAATGCCACATAATAATTTGCATTTTACTTGTATACATGCAATAGATAATAATTGGTGGTGTTAAGGTTTGAAAATATGTGATCCTCACTACTAAATAATTTAATTTTTTGGTAATAGATTAATTATGAGTGCGGTATCTAAAAAGCACTTTCCTATTTTAAAAAAGTTTAAAAATTGATCCATGTTAGCCCAAATTCTAACATAACATAACCCACGAGGGAAAAATTGGATTTTTTAAAGTTTTCAAAATAAAATTTAAAACTTTCAAAAATTAAAATTAATAAAAATGACTAATTTGTTTTAATTTAATTAATGTATGTGATAATAACAGATATTTTTATAGTTTTTGTCAAATAATTATTTTATCTTAATAAAGTAATAAGTAACTTTTTTATTTTTTAAAAAAGAAATATTAAAAAAAAAAATTCAGGAATGAATTTTATCAAAATAAATTTTTTGGATTAAATTCCTTCATGCCTAGCAGTAATAAAATACACCAACTACTAACTAATACTTTTTAATAAACCAAACGTCAAACCAGTAGTTCACCAATCCTCGGTTGCTTTCCACATCCAGTGAAGTAAGACATTCAATAAACGTTTTTCAAAGTCATCTAAATCGACGGTTTGTACTCTTTGAGTCAAATCAATACCATTCGTATGACGTCATCCAATACGTCATCATTCTGATCTAGCCCGGTATCGTGGTCCGCGAAACACATAATTGCCACCTCTCTCTTCTCCTTCCCGTACCAGACCACTTCCTTTCCAAATCTGGGTCCATTTTCGTTTTCCACGACAAAAAGCCGAAACAAGAAAAACCATTAGCAATAAATTCAGAAAAATAAAGGAAAATCTCAGTCACAATAGCTATCTAACAAGTAACCTGTCAATTTTGATCGAAATGAAGGATGATGATAATCTTCCGACTACGACGGCAACGGCGACGACAGCGGCAAATGTCAAGAAGGAAAGTGCAGATTCGAGTTTGTTCGCTAGAGGTCGATACAAATTTTGGGCGTTAGCTGCCATTTTGGTGCTCGCATTCTGGTCAATGTTCACCGGAACTGTTACTCTTCGTTGGTCCGCTGGCAATCTCAATCGTCTTTCTGACGATCTCGACACCCCCATCCACGACGACCTTGACGTTCTGGTTAGTCTCTCCTAATCCGAGCATGTTTTGACTCGTTTTGGGTAAAGATCTTGGATGATTGTTCAATTTTTTGGATGGGTTGCTCAGGAAATGGAGGAGAGGGAGAAGGTGGTGAAGCATATGTGGGATGTGTACACTAACAGCCGTCGGATCAGATTACCGAGGTTTTGGCAGGAGGCTTTTGAGGCTGCCTACGAGGATTTGACCAGTGATGTGCCTGGAGTTAGAGAAGCTGCCATCACTGAGATTGCTAAGATGTCTGTTCGCTCTTTCAATCTCGATCCGCCTCCTACCCAATCAACGGTGAGGGTTCCACGCTTTATCCTAACATTTCTGCCCTTTTTTCATCCTAGTTTAGTTTTCCCTAGTTTGAATCCAAGAAATTAATTTAGTTTTGAATAAGAAATCTACATAATTACTGTCATGGAGAAAAAGGAACCGTATGCAAAATCTGCTGATTCATTAATGCGTTACATATCCTACTAGCTACTTTAAGAGAGGCCGGGGAGCAATTAATCCACGCGGCAGGTTGTCTTTACATGTGAATTTGATGTGTTTGCCTTCATTTTTTGACTTTTGCTCGCTATGCTTTCTATTTAATTGGTTCTGAAGTTGTTATTTCTTTTGGTTACTAACCTCTGTCAACTCTCAAGGAATTTTTGGCCTACATCAGTCAAATTTTATACTAGTTCTTATGTTATTATTTTTGTTTGGTTTTTCATCTTTGCTGAATTTGAAGGCTCATGATTTGGTAATAACTTTAGTTAGATATCATTGTCTAATAATTACTATATTTTGCAATAAATGCTCGAGGACATTCTGGTTGGCTTAACTATGGATAATGATTTTCTCCTTTTCTCTCTTTCATTTTCCATTTCCGCCAGAAAAAAATTTGGTTTGTTTTTTAAAATCTTTTTCTTGCTTCCTAATGCTTCCTTTTGTGGGATGGGAACTGGGAACGAGTTTCCTGGCTAACTTTCAAGACAGTTTAAGTTCCATTTTGGTCTAGGCAGCAGTCTGTTTTACCTGAGAGACGATGCTCCCTTACTTGAAGAAAATGCATTTTTGACTGATGTATGATATCAGTGGACGCTACTCTTGCATCACTGTCTAGGAAATTTTTGGCTATCTTCTATGAGTAGTTTGAATCAATATTAGATTGTGGGCTTAAATATATAGATAAGCAGATATGGGTTAGTCTCCTAGATTGTAACTTGAGAAGGTTGTTGTTTAACTTTAAGAAGCTCCTGTTAGAATAGTTTTAACCTTTGAAATCTCCATGGTAACATGTGTGTGTAAAATTAGAACTAAGAACTTAATTTATATGATTTTTTATGCTTTTGGTGTGTATTCTTCCCACCTAACAGTTTGGCCAATTTCCAGCCGCTCAATAAGGTGAAAGTGCCATATTTGCATGAGAATCTGGGGTTTAGGTTCCTTTTTTAGTTGGGTTTCACAATACTGGGTATTGAATTAAGCAGGACTTGATTGCTCAATGGTTTTTAGGAAAAACATAGAACTTGTCAGTCTGGGGATTAAAACTGGCTATTTGTTTCCATTGTTTTGATGTTTAATTAAACACAGAAGTGTGCAGATCATCTTTTGTACATAAATATTACCAACTATAGTCATTTGATTCTTTTTCCTTTTTCCTCAAAGCAACTTTAATAATCGGATATTCTATTTGAACCTCATCAATTATATATTAGGTGCTGGTAACACAAAACATGGTGAGATAAAGATGCTTTAGGTGTGTTTTTCTCTGGAGTTAACATGATCATTATATTACAGGGTTCTCTGATGGTAAACCCTAAAGTCGAAATTTCTGTTGTGCTAAAACTGTAGGGGATCTTCTGATTCTGTGACCATCATTAGAAACCAAATATGTAGGTTTAGCATTTGGCATGTTTCCGCTGAAGAACTAATTGGAATGTAGTTTATTTTTACCAACTCGTCTTTGATAAATGAATGTTCTTGGTCTGGTTAGAGCTTATGTCAGTTTGGGCTCCTCAAATTTGCAGTTCAAACTGTTTAAATCAATCATTTGGTTTGATAGTAACTCTGTGTGCATGCCACATGCCAGCCCCCCAGAAAATATATTTTACTAATGTATATTTTTTCAACTTTTGTATAAATGGAACTGCAGATCTATGTCACTGTTTGTACAAATGAATCACGGGTTAGAATGCAGATAAGAAATAATGGAATTCAAAATACTTTCTATTCATAAATTTAAGGAACGATGGTCTTCATATGAAGCTCAGACCTCTTCTGCCTTTCCCACCCTTTAAATTTTGCATATGCCAAAGTCCTGCTAATTATTTTTATAAGATTCTTAAATGAACTGATGATCTGTCTTTTTTATTTGTTTAAAATTTAGAAAATTTTACTTTTTTTTTTTTCAAAAAATAAAATAAAAATTTTACCATCTAAGAAGTACGCATTTCTACCAGCAGGTTGTGTGATGAAGTTCTAAAAATTGATAATAAGTTATGGTTCTATTCTTTCTGCCGCTATGTTGTCAGGGTACACGGAGTTTGAGTAAGGATCTGAAGCTAGCGGAGGCACGCAGAGCTATCTTATCCTCAGCAGGCAGCAATCAATGATGGAAATGCATACCGAGGAGGATCGGAAGCTCTTTAAAGTTTAATTCTTCTGTACCTTGCTTGTGCTGTCCAAAGTTTGTGAGAGAGGTAGAAACCCATATACCTTGATGTTTTTATAACAGGGATGAAACTATATACTTATTTTAGCTTCGATTCTTCTAAATTTTGCTGTCACAGTCATATCCGGTTCATGGTGAGCTAAACGACTTTTGGACAGATAAAAATCAAGTGAGAGAATTACTTTTAAAAGTATTTTTTTTTTTTTTTTTTTTTTAAATTTTCCATATGAATGAAGTTGTTCTTTATACGATTCTGTAATTAGATCGTGGACAGGGAAGGAAGCTCACCACCCCAATTGAGTTTATTTAGATTTACAGCCCCATAATTTTTTTGGTGACTTGTTACTTGAGGTTGGGGATTGACTTTCAGAGTATTATATATAAACTAATTATATTTTTTACATGATCTAAAAAGTATAATTAAATTTAAATTAATTAATTTTAATACAGTGCATTCAAGATCTTATACTTTCTTAAATAATTTTTCCTATTGATAGTTTTGTTAATTCAAATTAAAAACTAAAAGACAATTTATTTATTTTAATTTTTTATTTAACTATTTGATCTAAAATTGTTGGTTCCGTTTATCATTACATAAAATACTAATAGAGATTCTATTAGAACATAAATATTTATGTCATCTGCATATTAAAATTTATGTTTTCATCCAAGAACATCACAAGTTAAAATAAATTGGAATTTCAAAAATTTTAAAAGTAAAATCCATACTTTTCAGAGTGTCTTTTTTTTATAATATGATCCTTAATTATTTGAAGTTAGTAAAATGTTAATTACATAAGAGAGAAACTAATACTTTTAAAAATGTGTTTAATATATTTCTAATAGAATGTATAATTTATTTCAACTGAAAAATCTGGATATTTAATTTGAATATCATATTTTAAAATATCTTCTTTAGTTTTTTTTTTTTTTTTTTTTTTTTTTTTTTTTTAAATTGTTGAAAAATTTAGGTTTGTAGAAATGAAACCCACACTGATCATTTTGCGTGTAGACCGGGAAGGAAGTCTTACCAGTGGATCTGTTCTTCTACTTCGACTAGACTAGATACAATGAAGTGTACGTACTGCTCGGCGCCGCAGGGCCGGTGCGCAACCACGACCACCGGCCGCTCCATCACGGAGTGCACCTCCTGCGGCCGAGTGGTAGAAGAGCGTCAATACCAAAACCACCACCTCTTCCATATCCGAGCACAAGACAACCCTCTCTGCCTCGTCACCTCTGACCTCCCGATCCACCATGCTCTCCTCCATCAAGATGACGAAGACCCCTTCCAGCCTACGGGCTTTATCACCACCTTCTCTACTTGGTCCCTCGAGCCAAGTCCGCTCTTCCTCCGCTCCTCCCTCTCATTCTCCGGCCACCTCGCCGAGCTCGAGCGCACCCTCGAACTTTCTTCTTCTTCTTCTTCTTCGACGACGACGTCGTCGACGGTCGTGGTTGATAATCTGCGTGCCTATATGCAGATCATAGACGTGGCCTCGATTCTGGGGTTGGATTATGATATATCGGACCACGCGTTTCAGTTGTTTAGGGATTGTTGCTCGGCTACTTGCTTGAGGAACAGGAGCGTTGAAGCACTTGCAACGGCTGCTCTTGTTCAAGCAATTAGGGAGGCTCAAGAACCCAGAACCCTGCAGGTACTTGAATTTTCCCCGCTTTTTTAATATTCCTTTTCGAGACTAAAGAGCGGAATTAGCGATTGCGAAATTAGCTTGAATAGTTTGCTTGGTAAATGTGTGTCTCTATCAAGACTAATGAGCTGAATTAATGATGATTATGTCTAATCAGATTCATGCGGAGTGTTTTATGTTTGTAGGTTTTCATGATTGAGAACATCCTGCAGATGGGTATTAATGGTTCATAGTAAATTTGCTGCAAAATACTTCGCTGTATTAAGTGTATTGTTTATGTATTCTTGTTATCTTGCTGCTCAAAATCTGCATGAACAGAATTTATAACATCGGTTGTAGTCCTGGTTCTTAAGTACCTACTATAAAGAAATATTGCTCGGTTGGTTGCAGGTTTTCTCTATATATTTGTCATGTACCTTCAGTTTACTGCATGCTAGTATTGATGTCTTTTTTGGAATAACAGGAAATCTCAATTGCTGCTAATGTACCTCAAAAAGAAATTGGAAAGTACATTAAAATATTGGGAGAAGCACTGCAATTAAGTCAGCCCATTAACAGTAATTCAATATCTGTTCATATGCCAAGATTCTGCACACTTCTTCAGCTTAATAAGTCTGCTCAGGTATCTCATAGCAGCCATTGAAGCCTTTATTTTGTCCTTATATGTTCTATGCCAATTTAGATATGAGATGGGATGTTCAACCCAAACAGAAAGTAGAAATAATCTACATGAGAAGAAATTTCTTTCTAGAAATTGTCACAAACTGGTTTCCAGTCAAGGAATATTAGACCAAAAAATGAAAAAGAAGATAAATAATAAAGTCTTGCATTGACTTCCGTCCAGAAGCTGTTGCAAGGTTCCAAATGTTTTTCTAGGGATATTATTCTACTTGCTAGCAAATTGATCTCATTCTAACCAAAAGTTTTGATCATATACCTTTAGAAAGTGATTACATTTTGCAAATCGTGAAGTATCTTTGAGGTTTTGGAATAACTTCATTTATTGATTAATATAATATGCTTTCCTCCTTTGTGACGTCTCTCCTCGGAATTGAGGCATAATGGTCAGTGGTAGTGTTGAATTTATAGTTGTAAAAGAGAAACTAGTACATAAAGGAATTGCTGCCAATTTATTTATTTTGAAGTTTGGGGTACTAGTTTTTTCTTTTCTCCTTCTTTGTTGCATATTATTAGATTCTTTCACAATTGACTTGTATGAACTCTTTTAGGAGCTGGCAACACACATTGGAGAAGTGGTGATCAATAAATGTTTCTGCACTCGAAGGAACCCCATTAGCATCTCAGCTGCTGCTATATATCTGGCCTGTCAATTAGAAGACAAACGCAAGACTCAGGCAGAAATTTGTAAGGTGACAGGACTGACTGAGGTCACCCTTCGCAAAGTCTACAAAGAGCTATTAGAGAATTGGGATGATCTGCTACCTTCAAATTATACTCCCGCTGTTCCACCAGAGAAAGCATTTCCCACAACAGCAATCTCCACAAGCCGCTCTTCAGCTCCCAGAGTTGATTCAGTTGAAGTGAATTCAGTGGAAAAAAATAAGCCCCTGGAAAGCAAGACAAACAAGTCAAGTGAGGTCTATGATGCAAACCTTCAGGGCAAGGGCAAAGAGGACGTTGAAAGAAATGATAATTCTTCTGGGGCTCATACAGCTCCGAACCGGCAGCCACCTTTCAGGCAGCCCTGGCTTCAATTTGGCAGTCCTGGTGTTAGGATTGCAGGTGAGAAAACTAGAGGGGATGTAATTGAGGCCACAGTCTAACCATCAAGTATTAGAACAAAAGGTAGATAAGCAGCCCAATGATAAGGACCAAAAGACTGCTGTCACTTCTTTTAAACCTAGCCAGTTTTCTAATGGTGCAGCTCCAACTACGAGTACAATCGCCTGGCCGTTCCAGCCTTCAGCTTCATCGGGGTCTTCTCTGGCTGTTCCAATCATTCATCCACCAAAGTTGCCACCAGGTTATGCCGAGATTAAAGGAACTGGGGGTCAAAATGAAAGCAAAAATGTCAATTGGCAGGGAGAAGTGCCGTAAAGAGTAAGTCCTGCGCTTCTGTGCAAAGTATAATATTTCAAAAGCTGCGGGGTTTCACTCTCAAATCTTTTAAGGGAGAGGGAATCTTGATGGAGGGTACAAATCTTTCTTTGTTTGGTGTTTGTTCAAGGTTTCAAGCAGGTTTTGTAAAAGGCTTTTAGATGGATGGTTAATAATTTGGGCCTCCATTAAATGAAGAGGGGAATTGAGCCTTTTCTTGGAAAACTTTTTTATTTTCTTTTTAGTAAGGAATATAAGTTGACGTGATAATCCACTTTATTAGTACTGGAAAACGTTCCTCCAATGAAAATGTTACATCTAATTATCCAATAATAATCCTACTCTTGCATTTGTATTACTCGTCAATCTATAATTGGCAGGCTACCTTCTGTATGACTGTTGTGTTACTGGCCAGATGGCATTTCTGATGAGTTGAGGACCCGCTGGCCCTGGGCCTGCCCCATAGTATTAAGTCTTTAATTGTGGGTCTTGTGTTTCCTAACAGGGCATAGAGGTCATGCGTCTTCAACCTATGGTGAGGATTGAAGAAGGGTTCCCTTTAATAGTTTCAGATAAGGTGCCAATTTAATAAATTTGCTCACTTCAAACACTATATCTCCCTTTCCCTCTGATACACAGAAACTAGGCTAGATCTGCATTTGGCATTTTGCCTTGTGTATTTGAGAACTCAAAGATGCTGCTGCTCTGGCCGGTTTCCACCTCACTAGCGTCCTTGCAGCATAGCAGATTTCATGTCACCCACAACAGAAGCATACCCCACGGCCCACTCAAGGTGTTGGCCATGGCAAAAGAGAGCAGCGATAGCAGCAGCAACGGGGTTGCAGAGAAAGCAGCAATAGCAGGGGGCTTGGTGTCAACCCCAGTGATCTTATGGTCCCTCTACACGCTCAAGACAACCGGGTGTGGCCTCCCTCCGGGGCCAGGAGGTGCAATAGGTGCGCTAGAGGGCGTGAGCTACTTGGTGGTCTTTGGGATTGTGGGTTGGTCGTTGTACACCAAAATCAAAACTGGCTCCGGTCTGCCTAATGGTCCTTTTGGTTTGCTGGGAGCTGTTGAAGGATTATCATATCTGTCTTTGGCTGCCATTTTGGTTGTGTTTGGGTTGCAGTTTCTGGATAAGGGCTCTATTCCAGGGCCTCTGCCAAGTGATGAGTGCTTCGGCTGACCATTACTAATTACAACAGTCACTTTCTCTAAAATGTAGGTATATGCATATAAGTGAATTACAATTCTATCTTCTATTTATGGCCATGATTCATCTCCAAGCTTTTTACTTGCATGTAGGAATCTTGTTTGATATTTCATGGATAATTAGGATACGCTGCTTTGAATTAATTGTGGACGATAATCCTAACTAAAACTGTACGTTATAACATTACATATATATATATATATAATAAAGGAGTTTCAAAAAGTTTGAATTTTATTTATCTATTTTTTTTGAAGTAAATAGGACGCTTTTTGAATAAAATGAATTAAATTAGGTGTTTTTTTTTTTTTTTCTTTTTTATGTGCAGTGTGTATTTTGTTTTTGTAAATTTAGTTTATGAATAATGGCATACTATTGTTATCTGTATCCAGTATGTTTATATTAAATATCTGTCTTGTAGTTCCCAGCTAACGGGTTCCATCCACATACTTTTGAATATTTACACCTTAAATTCTGCTATTTACAATAGAGTATATATATACATAAATCCTAATATTTACATCCTGAGTTCTTATATCAATTTTTTTTTTGGTTCTTTTATAATTTTTTTCAAATTTATTTATTGTATTTTTATAAGCTTTTTGATTTGTTCTCTAATTGGTAATGCACGTTAATATTAATATCAATAATGTAAGTACCGTATAAATATAAATTAAACACATGACGTATTCTTATAGAATCATTATATATCTTATAGAATCAAAACATGTGCTAGATTTATTATTAATTTTTTTTAGAATGGCGATCTATATTATTAAAATTATATCAAAACTTTTTGATTCAACCTTAAATAAATTCGTAAGTAGTTTAATTAACAAATGTATTAGAAAAATATAAAATTAATCTAATTAAGTGACTAAAAAAATTATTTACTTTAATCATTCCGCACCTTGTTATTTTATTCTAAATAATAAAATTTTAACATTTAAGAAAACTTTGTATATTTATTTTAATATTCATAATTATTCACATAATAGAAAATTTTATATAGATAGATTTGAATTTGTATAAAAAGCGAGCGTAAATGTGATGGGGAAAAACATTATATATACATATCTATATATGTATATATATATATATATAGAGAGATAGAGAGAGATAGAGAAGAGCAAACAAATCGTGGTGACACGCCTACTTTGATTTTAAAATTTGCATGAAATTTTCTTTGAAGAAAAAGTAAAAAAAAAAAAAAATTAAGCAAAAAACTTGAGAAGCAAGCAACCAGAGTGTCACGACAAGTCCATTGACTTGACTTGACGACATGTTTAACCCTTCAAGGCGTTTTACGTACGCGTCTTCCTGTTTTTTATCACCAGGCGATCCAAGTTCATTTACAACGAACTCTAATCTCTCTCCCGAGTTGACTCACTCAACACACTCCGCCCAGGTTTCAAAGTTATACGGTAGTTCTTGATCTTTTCACCGTCTCCTTTCTTATCTCTCTCTTATGCTTTCTGGGTTCGTTTTATAGCTTTGTTCGTGGTCATCGTTTTAAGTTATTAACTCGATTCTTTTCGATACTTTCCAGAGATGACAAGGGTGGTGTCTTATTTTAAGCGTGTTTTCTGGGTCTGGATTGTTTTCAGGTCTTTCCTGCCGGGTTTTTATGCTTCCGGTTCTGTTTGGTTACTGGGGAAAGTAAACTAGAAAAGGGACGAGAAGTTTCCATGCATTTATCCAAGTCTTCGTTTTGATTGAGTTTTCCTTTCTCGCTCCTCTCCCTCTTTCCTTGTGTCTTCCCAATTGACTTTCAAGTTGGGATTTGGTCAACATTTCTTAATGAAAATAAAATACAGAAACGAACAGTTATCTCCCATAGAAAAAACTGATTTAGGGATGTTTTATCTTGGTTTCTGAAACAGAGAGAAGAAAATTGGTATTGCTTAACATCAGTTTATGTTCGTTTTGTTAATTGTTATGTCCTTTTTTTGTACTCCTACTCTTGATTCTTGAATTAGCATCAATGACTGTTTCAATTGTTTTTTAGTTAGTCTGATTAATGGCGGAGATTGAGGAGGACAGCCTGGAAGAAATGACTGATGCAGAGTCATACAGTGCTGATGAAGTCGAAGATTTATTTGAAAGCAAACAGAATAATTGCTGGAAATCATCTCCGGAACTCCATGGTGCATCGTCTTCAAAATTGGAACCTGATGATGACAGTACTTCTGTGGTAATATTTATCAGATTTAGTATTAATATTATAAATAAAATATGGAACAAATAATTCACGTATATATATTAGGTCTTCCACTTACTTGCAAAACGCCGTATGGAAGTATTGTAAGAAATTTGGCTGGATTTGAAAAGTAGAAATCTACTCTGTTATGATGTTAAAGAATACAATTACATTGATCATTCTAAAACTTATCAAACTGAATGCATAATCTATTGTTTATATTCTAGTGTCTGATCTCACATGAAGACTTATCAGATTATATGCATGGATCAAACACAAAACAGTGTAAGTAGATATGACACCATATTAAGAATTTCTGATACTACATTAAATAATTGATCATGGTTAATTATCTAAAATCTTAAAGTTTATGATTCTGTTGTTGGGCTTCATATTCAATGTTCATCCCCTATTTGGTTTTTCACTCACTGTAAGCAAAATGATTTAATGTCAAACGATGCTTATGCTTGATTCTGTTAATGTTCGGTTGCAGTTCTCAGATTTCACATACACCTCTTTTGTGCAGAGAAAATCCCCATACAAGGTTCTTGCTTGTTCAAGCATGGGAGGCTCTTCTAAATTCCCGAAACACATAAAACTAAAGATTGATATGAATATAGAAGATGTTGTTAAGGAGAATGTTCTTCCTTTTCTCCCTGCTAAGTCTCTCTACAGGTACAAAACTGTATCAAGAGCTTGGAATCAGTGGATATCTTCTCCTTTCTTGGAACTCAAGCAAACAAACCAGTTCAAAGACATCTCTGGCCTTTTCAGTCAATTTCCTGGGGAAAATCCTTCTTTTATCTCTTTCAATCAAGACGCTTATGGCATCCCTGTCCCCTCGCTCAACTTTCTGCCAGAGTCTGTTAATATTCGAACCACCTGCAATGGCTTAGTTTGTTGTCAAGCTCGATCCGAAGAAGGTGCATATTTCATTTGCAATCCTGTGACAGGACATTGGACAAAGCTTCCGAGCCCTAATTTATATCATGGACCTGAACCTGCTATTGTGCTTGCTTTTGACGCTTATGCACTCAATTTTGCTTCTAACTATGAGTTAGTCTGTGCTGTACTCGATTTAACAGATCATTCAATTGTTCAATTTGAGATTTACTCTTCGAGGACGAATTCATGGAGAGTCGCGGATGCTGTATGCTGTGAAGAAGGCTGGTTGAATCTGAGCGCCGGATGCTATATGAAGGGAGTTGTTTATTGGGAGACATCAAGGGGTGGGATTTTGGCATTTGATTTAAAACATGAAGAGTATGGTATTCTGTCACTCCCTCCCTCCAAAGGACCAAATGGTGCTTTGGTAGAAATAAATGGAGAATTGTCTTACATTTTGCCTAAAAAACAAGACAATTTCTGGGAAATTTATGTCTATGGGAATATGAATATGAGCTTGAAGGGCACAATAAGTCTTGATCCTGAAATTGTGGGGGAAACCTATGGAGTATGTCAGGCCTTGACATGCATTAACAGTGACTTACTAATAATCTTGCTTGGAACGAAAGTCATTACTTATCGAGTTAGAACTCGAAAACTGGAATGTTTTTACGATATGAGGATTAATGGAGTGTCAAAATATCTACCGTATGTGAACAGCCTTATTCCTGTTGCTAGACCCAGGCCTGAAATTTAGATCTTCTGCAGGGTTTGTAGCAAGGTTACTAGTGTTTCCATTTGTGAACTTATATAGATGTGCTTCGATTTGATCCAAAAATTTTTAAGTGTTTGATATTTTTATGAAGATCAGACAAGTCATGATGGTTGTAATATTTTATTACTTAAAACTATTATCGACTAATTACTAATTAATATATCTTTAATTTTGAAAATGTTACAATAAGTTTGAGTTAAGAATGTAAATACTCATCTTTAACAATTAGGTCTAGATTATTATTATTTTCTTAAAAATACAATCTCTAATAGTTAAAAAGATATTAGTACTTAATGCTAACATTTTTAACCTTTGAACTTCAAAAGAAATTAATTTCTGAGGCTATGAACCTTACAAATGGAGAGACAACCGTCTCCTTTGGAGGTAGGACGTGGAAGAAGCCACTTACATTTCAAAATTATATATATATATATATGTATATATTTTTAAAAAAGAAAAGAAGCAACTGAAATTAATCATCATAAATAGGCTGTGAGTGAATCAGTGAAGAGAGACAAGCCCATCTTTGTAGGAGGACACAAAGGAAAATGGTAGGCTCCTCCAAAGTCCTCACCTTTCTAAAATGAGAAATTTACTCTCTGCAATATTCTTTTTCCTCTGTCCTTTGACGACATCCCTCCTGTCTTCTTCATTCAGGTACCTTTTTCTTCATATCTGATTCATATCCATGGCGGTCATCATGCCCGAAGCTATCAGTTTTTGCATGATTTTTAGTAATTTGTGAATACCCATTTGTTAAAAATGCTTGATTTGATAATAATAATGGTGATTTATGAACACCAATTTGTCGTTTTGCATGCATGGCTAGATGATCTTGTATTGAGTTGAAGAAAAAAGTCGTGATCTTCATCTTCATCATCATCTTCTTCTTCGTTTTCTTCTTCAGGGGTGGTCAGATTGTGAGACGACGAGTAGTTACAGGAGAGGGAGTTCTATATTGTTGAAGGAATCATATATATATATACACACACCCGGGTAGATATATATATATATATATACACACATTTAAGCTGTAAAAGACAATGGCTCCCTCTCATGTAACTGCTAGGCCGCGATTGGATTCGTTAGCATTGGCAGATGATCTATCAAGAGCTTCAAACTCGACTTGGTCGCAATTGGGATCTGTGGCGTCGTCGGAGAATTCATCAGTACCGTTGGAGATAAATTCACCGTCGCCGAGGAATGCATCAGTACCGCTGCAGATTAATTCAACAACGTCGGGGAATGCATCGTCGCCGTCGAACACACCTGCATTATCACCACCAGCACCACCACCACCGTCTTCGTCGTCACCACCTCCGGAAAGTAAGGCTCCGCCGCCGAGAGTTTCAACGTCGCCACCTCCACCCTCCCCATCTCCGCCACCACCTCTGTCTCGGGGAACTCCACCTTCGGACAGTGGCCGGAATCCTCCACCCCCACCTCACTCCGGCGTCCCCTCTCGTCCTCCTCCTCCTCCGCGTTCTCCTTCCGGGGGGAAAACACCAAAGCCCCCGAAGTCTAGTGACAGCTCATCATCACCATCGTCTTCGCCGCCGTCTTCAGTAGTGGGAGTGATAATAATACGGTGAAAATTGCAGCAGGTTTAGCAGTGGGGGCAGTGGTTTTAATAATCATATTAATCATCATTTGTGTCAGACGTTCCAACAAGAAGAAGCGGAAGGAGCAGTTTTATGGAGATTCCATTAAAGGTGCTCTGAACACCCTTGAATAGATCACCTCTTTTTCTACTACTCAAAAACTAGAACTCATATTTCCTTTCAATCGAAACTCTATGAAATCCATTTAAAATTTATACATATATTAAGCAGGAACATAAATTTATTGAGAAAGTATAAGAATTGAGTTGATAAAAAAAATTAAAATGGGTTGGAACAGTGCATTTCTGTGTAGATTTTCAAATGAATTTTACTAAAAATCTTAGATTTGTTCCATAAGTAGCATAAAGATTAGACTGAAATCTTGATTGGTTCTAAAGGATCCTGTTTAGTTTAGAAAATTGCTTACTTTGAATTGAATAGAGAATTAGAATACTTATTTGCATTTCAGGCTCTTCTTGTGCTTGTTGCATCCACTTAATGTCTTGAACCAATCTTGAACTAGATTTGATTAAATTTTTCACAAACAATTCTAGACTGCATGGAATGGTTTCTCTTTTCTAGTAACTTGACTCCAACATTAAATTCTCCTTTTGTCTGACTAAACTTTTATAGCAAAACAGCGAATTTGGGATTAGAAAGTCATTATTGGAGTGATTGATGTTCGATTCTGTATAGTTAGGATAATATGATATTGTTTAAATTGGGATTTGGCTGGCTGATTTGCTACTATTTCACGCAGGTGGGCAATACTATATCGATAATTCTTTCAGGAATCCTACCTGGCAAAATAATCATCAAGGATCAGTGAAGCAATCCCCAGGTGGATGGGTTCCCTCGCCTAAAACCCCATCAATGATGGCTATCAATGAAGATAGTTCGATATTCTTAGATCCACCTCGCCTTCCAATGCCACCCCCATCACCAAGTTTTAATCTAGGTTTCAACAAGAGCACCTTTACTTACGAGGAACTAGCAGTTGCCACAGGAGGTTTTGCTGAGGCCAATCTTTTGGGTCAAGGCGGGTTTGGATATGTGCATAAGGGTGTGTTGCCAAATGGGAAAGAAGTAGCTGTAAAGAGTTTAAAGTCAGGTAGTGGACAAGGAGAAAGAGAGTTCCAGGCAGAAGTTGAAATTATTATTCGAGTTCATCATCGGTATCTTGTATCACTGGTTGGATACTGTAATGCCGATGGACAACGGATGTTGGTTTATGAATTTATTCCTAATAAAACTCTGGAATATCATCTTCATGGTAAGTTTCATTTTCTCAAATTTTCCAGCTTTTCCTTTTCTATTGTCTTGTGAGAAAATCTGACAATAAACGTGAAATGAAAAACGGAAAATAATTGGTCCCAACAATGAAGTTTATCGTAAGAGTTCAAAATTTCTGTTCCAGGAAAGGGTCTTCCTGTCATGGATTTTCCTACTAGGCTTCGGATAGCATTAGATTCTGCTAAAGGACTTGCTTATATTCATGAAGATTGTAAGACAATTCTACTTTCCTCTTAGCATTGTCTTTCTCTCACTGATGACAAGATATCTCATTTCTTCTTGGGATAAAAAATCCAGGTCATCCTCGGATTATCCATCGCGATATCAAAGCTTCTAATATTCTCCTTGACTTCAATTTTGATGCAAAGGTAAGAATTCTATGGAAGAGTTATTTTACTCTTGCTATACCAATAATAATTTTCTTATCAAACAAAATTCTGTCTCTTCAGGTGGCTGATTTCGGGTTGGCTAAGCTATCTTCTGACAATTACACTCATGTTTCTACACGAGTCATGGGGACATTTGGGTAACAAATATTAACATTTGCCTACGATGTTGAATAATGACTTCTTGCAGACTTGTCTGATATCAGGCTTCAGCAAACGGATAAGAGAGATCAATGCAATTATGAAAATTTTGCAGTGATTAATATTGTTGTTTCCTTGCCAAAATGCAGGTATTTGGCTCCGGAATATGCATCAAGTGGAAAACTAACAGAAAAGTCAGATGTTTTCTCGTTCGGGGTGATGCTATTAGAACTAATTACTGGAAAACCGCCTGTGGATGTTAGTGATACAGAGGATGATAGTTTAGTGGATTGGGTGAGTGTTTTCTCAACTTGTAAATTTTGGTATTCTGCATGTCAGACAATGGGATTCTGTATCCATTTTTTTACTAGAATATATATATAATAGATTATATATCATCTCTTATCTGATCAAATATAATTTCATATTCTTTTTTATCTTTTCACTTATAATACACTCACTTTCCTTTTCTCTTCTGGTGTGTGATGAACAGGCTCGACCTCTCCTGACTCAAGCATTGGAGGATGGGAAATTCGACGAGCTTGCAGATCCACGTTTGCAGGGAAACTACAACCAGCAGGACATGGCAAGAATGGTAGCCTGTGCAGCTGCCAGCATTCGCCATTCTGCTCGAAAACGCCCTAAAATGAGCCAGGTACTGCTGTTCGCCATTAAATTTGGTAGAAACAGGTACTTGTTTATATTGTGATTCACCATATAATCAAAGCCTATGCCATTATTTAACAATTCAAATAGCATAATTTTGAACAGTAGTCCAACTTCGTTAGAATAAAGACAGAATGATTCAAATACACTTCAAATTATGTCTTAGTGGAATCATACAGTTCAAATGGTAACGCGTTGCATCCATACAATTCGAATTATGCAATTCAAATGGTATCACAATATTACTTGTTAGCATTACATCATTTTGATATTAAATCAAATTGAATTGTAGGATACTATTTTCTTATTTGAATCTAATAGTAAAAATGGGTATCTGTGTACAAATCACGATAACTGAATCTGATACAAAACTATCATCAATTGTTAACTGTTCCCTTTTTATATATTTGTTATTGGCCAATGTAAAAGATGAGTCTAGACAATCAGTTGATTAATGATCAATTCTATCGTGTAAACTATGCAGATAGTAAGAGCACTAGAGGGAGATGTGTCGCTAGAGGACCTAAATGAGGGTGTTAAGCCTGGACACAGCTCCATCTATAGCTTAGGTGGGAGTTTTGATTGTACACAAAGCACATACGATGCAGACATGAAGAAGTTTAGACAGATAGCATTGACAAGCACAGAATTTGCAAGCAGTGAGTGTGGAACTTCAAGTACAGACTCTAGAGAGATGACCCCTTCAAGGCAGCCAAAACCCAAGTAATATTTTTGCTTTAACGAGTTGGCCCTTTTAGTGTTGGAAAGGCACATACCTCGATTTCCTTACAACCCGACTGCATTGCGAGAATATATTTTTTTTGGTTGCAAAAACTAATAAGTTAATATAGTATCCTTTTCATTATTATTGGAAAAGAAAACTGAAACAATCAGTATATGCCAGTTGTACAAAATAATTAATTTTGCAGCTTTACAATCCTCTCGTCCTATTATTAGAGTCGATTTAAGAGCTCGGCCGGGTCAATGGGAAAATTGCTCAGCTGTTTGTTTTTTATGATGGAAGTTGGGTCATTGTGTCTGATGAGATTTCTACTAGTTGTTTGCCAAGGTAACAGAGAGAGTTAAGATCACTAGGTATGAGGATGCTTGATCTTTTAACTCATGTTGATGGATATGTAAACAATACCCACAAACATGATGCTCTTCTTTGATTCTTTTTCATTTTCATTAATAATCAAATTCATTTGTGGAATTGAATATCAAAGTTTTTAAGAGTATTTATGTGATGTTTAAATACTTTATTTTTTTATTTTTTTTTAAAAAAATAAATTTATACCGTAACAAAAGACTTCTAAATCATAATTTGAATTCATATAAAAATAAAAGAAAATAAAAATAATATTTATTTTGTTCATTTGCAAAAGTTTATAAGCTCTTTAGCAGCATATAAACTAATATAATTTTCTTTTATAAATAAGTTATTGAAGTGTTTGGTTAACATGAAATTTATTAATGTATTTGCTTTGATAAAAATATACCTTACAAGTTACAAATTTTGTTAAAAATAACCAAAAAAAAAAAAAAAATTTAGAGGTGCCAGAATATATATATATATATATATATGTAAATGTCTAAGATTCCGATACTCATTATTTATAAGCTGATAAATCTATATATATATATATAGAGATAGAGAGAGCCACCAGAGAGTTTTATGATTTTATCAAAACTTTTTTAAGAGTGATTATGTTTTGTTTAAGCATCACTTTTAACCAAGTCAATACAAGTAATAATCAATTATCTTTTTTAAAAAAATTAAATTAAACATGCAAAATAATCTTAAGAATAAATATATTAAAAAATTTTACATTATATTATTTAATTAAATGAAATTAAAAATTTAATTTATTAATATACTGATAAAATTATAGTAAGTAATTAAATTAAATTAAATCTCAATAAATCTATTATTTATAAATAAAATAAATATTTTATAATAATTAATTTTTTTAATTATAATAATTATAAACGAATTAAAATTTTTATTTAATATTTTACTTCTTAAAAAAAATTAAAAGATCTCATCTCTCTTTTGAGTTTTTTGTTTTTTGTTTTATTGAGAAAATAAGAATTGTTCATTTATAAAATATAATAAATTTATGTTAACAGTAAATAGATTAGGAGTCTTTTAAAGAATCCATTGAGACTGAGATAGTCGGAAAGCATCCCAAGTTAAACAATTGAGTTATCTAAAATACCATACAAATTGAAGCACAACAAACTTTTCTCACATTTTAAAAAAA